AGTATATATACAGTATATATACAGTAGATATATATACAGTGGTTTGCAAAAGTATTCATACCCCTTGAACTTTTCCATATTTTGTCACATTACAACCACAAACATAAATATATTTCACTGGAATTTAATGTGAAAGACCAACTTTGTGTTGGTCTTTCACATTAAATTCCAGTGAAATATATTTATGTTTGTGGTTGTAATGTGACAAAATATGGAAAAGTTCAAGGGGTATGAATACTTTTGCAAACCACTGTATATGAAATAAGAAAAAACTGAGTCAAATCAAGTATTTCAAGAATCTTACCAAGTAAAATGTTCTTACTCCACTGGCAGAAATGTCTGACTTAGAGTCAAATTTTCAGACAAACAAGACAAATAATCTTACACATTCTGAAAACAAGATGATTATTCTTACACAATCAGTTCTTGTTTAGTAAATCAGTCTCAAAAAGACTTTTTGGCTGATGTAAGGTTTTAAAATTTGGTAAGATGGACGGTTTTTGCAGTGTAGAGACAGTTGACATGACTTTGTTCAGTAAATTCAACATTTTTTAGAGCAGAAACATCATCTTTCATTATAGCTGTTTAAAAAAGTAATTGGTAAAATCACAAATCCTGAAATAAACTACTGAAGTACTGTAACAAAGTAAATGTACTCAGTTACTATAAACCTCTGGGTACTGTAACAAAGTAAATGTACTCAGTTACTATAAACCAGTGGGACATGTTAGGTTGTATTTACTCCTGTCTCTGAAAAGTTCTGCTTCCTGCTGCAGGAGCTCGAGGAGAAGCAGACGCTCAGAGCATCACGGTGCTGGCCATGTGGATGATCGAACATCCGTCTGAGGACGAGCACGAGGAGTCCCACGGCAGAGGAGGCCGGTCTGAGTCCTCCTGCCCCGGGGCCACGGCCTCCACCGGAGGCAAGTGTGTGGAGCGCAGCTCCTTCCTCTGCTCTCCTGGAGACGTGGCTAACGCTGACGCTGCAGAGCTGGAGGAGGGCTTCAGTGAGAGGTGGGATCATTCTGAAGGTTCTGCTCCAAACATGGCCATTGTTTTTAAATTTAATGATAAAGGTCTAATGTTCCTTCATGACAGAGTTTATATCGTCTTAAATCAGACAAAGCTGTGACTCTACTGCTCCGACATTTAACATGCTAACATCACAAACAGCTGACAGCTGTGTTGGGTTTAACATTTACAAAAACAAAAAGCACTGAGTGATTTTAACTTTGACATTTTCTCTCATAATATTCACATTTAATGACTGAAACTGTGTGGATGAAGCAGTGRTCCAAACTACTTTCATCACAGGAAGCATCATTTACAGGAAGTAGAGAGTTTGTATTTCCTGTGCAAATGAAGTGTGAGTAATGCTGAAGGATTTTATCTGAAAAGCTGCTGAAGTTGAGCTGAAAAGGTTTAATAACAAAACTGTTTATGAGTTAAATTTAAACAGCTGATTTGTGCTGAAAGCAGGAAAACAAAAGTCAAAAATCTCTAGAAAAATAGTAAAAATGTGTCCGAATATCTGAAAAAAGAGCAGAAGTGTTGCTAAAATTAGCAGAAAATAGTGAATATTTGCAAACAAACAGCTTAAAGGACAGAAAAAAGTCCCAACAAACAAAAAAAATAGGAACTTATAAGATATATAAAAAGAATAATGCTGACATTTAGTAAAAAATAAACAAACCTAGCAGGATGTTTAACCATGACATTTTACTTTGTGACCTTGAAATTAATTAAGTTTGCTGAATTAAGCAATGAGAAGCTGAAAATATCATAATTAAGTGAATTTAGCTGAAAAAAGCTGCAGTTAACTGAAAATATATTTAAAGTTGCCTAAAATACTGTAATTAGAGGAAAAAAAACACTGAAGGAGCTCGTTTGCTGAATTGAGAAAAGAAAAAGTTGAAATGAAAAGCAAAACCTGAATTTAGCTGAATAAAGCTCAGTTTAGCAAAAACAGCTAAAGAGTAGCTGAAATCAGCAGAATGAAGCTGAAAGGAGCACGAAAAGTTTAAATTAATGGTAAGAAGTTGAAAAACAGTTAAAAGCAGCTGAAGTGATGAAAACAGAAGCTGAAAGAAGCTGAAATCATCAGAAAGACAATAAAACAGCAGAAACAGAATAAAAGTCAAGATTTCTGAACATTTCATCAGCTCCGTTCATTTTGAACGAGGAAACATGTCAGAACAAGATAAATATGTCCAAAAGTTAAAGTGGACAGGATGAGGACAGGAGGAGGTGTGTCTCTGTCCATCATGGTCTTTAATAGTTCTCTGTGTGGTCTTTAGTCCTGAAGGGGGGGAGCAGGACAGTGCCTCGGCCTCCAGCAGCACCCCCCTCAGAGGACGCTCTGCAGCAGGCAGGAAGCAGCGCTTTGACCTGGCAGCTCGCACGCTGCTGGCCCGAGCAGGTGAGGACAGAGACAAGAGTCTTTAATGTCTCACAGAGTCCACCTGCAGCTCACCTGACACTTCCTGTCCCCTCAGCTGGACTGTACCGCTCAGTCCAGGCCCACCACAGCCAGACGAGGCGGGAGGCGTCGTCCCTGCAGCAGCAGCAGGACCCCGGCGCCCTGTACGACTTCAACCTGGACGAGGAGCTGGAGATGGACCTGGACGAGGACACCATGGAGGCCATGTTTGGACAGGACCTGGCCTCTGACACCGACATTCTGGGAATGTGGATCCCGGAGGTACTGGACTGGCCAACATGGGTGTGTGTGACTTTATGCTGTAGTTCACCGGCATCACCTGTCTCTGAACACACACACCTGCATCACCTGTCCCTGAACACACCTGCACCACCTGTCCCTGAACACACCTGCATCACCTGTCTCTGAACACACACACCTGCATCACCTGTCTCTGAACACACCTGCATCACCTGTCTCTGAACACATCTGCATCACCTGTCTCTGAACACACACACCTGCATCACCTGTCTCTGAACACACCTGCATCACCTGTCCCTGAACACACCTGCATCACCTGTCTCTGAACACACCTGCATCACCTGTCTCTGAACACACCTGCATCACCTGT